CAACCTTTGCATACTGCCTAGAATTTGTTTACTTGACACAGTAATCTTGAAATACTGCTCTCTACTTCCTCTCTTTGGCTCTCTTCTACCTACTTTCACTTTCTAATTACTGCCATCCTTACTCTTAATGTTATACTGTGAAGATTAGTAATGTGTATTCTTTTGGAACCATAAGCAAATCCTATGGGTTCTGCCAATACATTGTTCTAGGAGTTAAAAATTAGAACCAGTTTACATTATGATGACCATAGACATATTTCCCAATACAAAAAAGCAATCAGTATCCTATTTCTTTTCTTGTACTTTTTAAAAATTTATTCTAGAGTTTAATTGTCTTATTGGTTATTTTCTTTTTAAGAAAAATACCTTCATTTGTTGGGGCTGAGGTTGTGGCTCAGTGGCAGAGCACTTGCCTTGCACATGTGAGGCACTGGGTTTGAACCTCAGCACCACATAAAAACAAATAAACAAAATAAAGGTATTTTTAAAAACCTTCATTTGTAAATGAGATTTTTTATGCCATTGAAGGTTTTTCTTTTCTTTTTATATATATTTCACAAAAAACACAATTAAACTTGTACTTTGGATTATAATGATCATCACATTCCATCATCATTAATAACCCCATGCCCCATCCCTTTCCCTCCAACCCCTGTGCCCTATATAGAGATCTTCTATTCCTCCCATGCTCCCACTTCCTATCCCACTATGAATCATCCTCCTTATATCAGAGAAAAGATTAGACATTTGTTTTGGGGGGGATTAGTTAACTTCACTTATTAATGATGGTGGAATGTGATGATCATTATTATCCAAAGTACAGGTATGAAGACACAAATTGGTGTGAATATACTATGTATACAACCAGAGATATGAAAAATTGTTCTCTGTATAATAAGAATTGTAATGTATTCCACTGTCATATATAAAAAAATGGAAAAAAAACTTAAAAAATAACCTATTACGTGAAAAAAAAAAGAAAATTAGAGGGTTTAGGGTTTTTTGTTTGTTTGGTTGGTTGGTTTTAAAAGTTAGTGTATAGTTGATACACAGTGGTAAAGTTAAAAATTCATAAATTTAGTTCTGCCTTAGGTTTTTTGAGTTAATGATATAAATCATAATTTCTATTTACAAATCTAGCATATTTGAGCAATTATTTTTAAAATCACTTTTGAAAAATACTTGTTCCATTTATAAATTTAGCTAATTAGACCCTTAAATATTTGAATTACATTTATAAATTTAATATTAAATATCAATTTTCTACACTAAAACAAAATCTCAACGACCAAGTAATTTTTATCTTAAAAATGATTAGTCTAATTCAATTACTCAATTATAAATATCAAGTTAGTGTCACAAGACTATTGCTCTAACAAGAAGATAGAATTCTAAGTTTGCATAAGTTCCTTAATGCAGGGGGTGGGGAGTGCTCTGGGGTTTGATTCTTTTCTGATACTTTTCCACAAAAGAGAACAATTATCTTTACAGGTAAGACTACTTTTAAGCAGTTCTCTACCTAATTATTTTTGTTCCCATGGTCAAACAATACTTATTTCCTAAGGAAACAATTTCTTGGTTAACGGAGGCTGCTTTAAACCAAACATTTTAACTGGGCAAGGAAAACGATATTACAGACATCCACAGTAAATATTATCACTACTCACTTAAAAACTCTCATGTCGTCTCAATGGACTTTGTAGATTGTCTTATTAAATGCTCAGATTTTGGCTGGGATGCCACGGATTCTGGTTGGGGACATTGATATGAAGCACTGAACATATTTATACCATCAGAGAAAGCAGGCAGCCTCATATATATGTATCCAAGTTAAATATACTAATTCCTCAGTTGATGCATACAAACCTACAACCTCATTCAAATTGATTACTTGTTTGGATGCAGCTTTTCTTTGGCCTGTACAGTACGGAAATGTCTTGTGTGAGTGAAAAGATTTTTAAACTTAATGGAAGCCTATATTCTTTTTATGCACATCATATTATAGGACTTAGGCTCTCTTAAGGATATGTCCAGTTGAATTCTGGGTATTTTCTCTATATGATCACAGTTGCCAAGTCTACTTACTGACTTTCAAAGTTTTCCACTATTTCCATCTAATGTCTATCTAATCTTTAGGGTTCCCCCACCCTCAGAAACATATTTCCTAATTCCCTTCATCTTTCCATTGCTGTCTACATTTTCATTCCCTGCACTAATACAATTAATGTCATCCTGGGATTTCCTTTTACTGATTTTCTTATTTGGTACATTTTTTTTTCTTGAATCTCACCTCCTCCCCCTTGGTTTACTTCATTTTTCTCAAGTATATCCTCAAGTGACTTCCTAAGAAATGATATATGGAAAATAAATTTTCTATTTTACTTACATGCATTTACATGTATATATTTACAAGTATTTTTTCTGGTCTTACTCTTCATTGATATTTGGGTGAAAAGCATTTTCCCACAGAATTTCAATATGCTATCTTTAGTATGCAGTGCTTTTGATAAAAAGTCTAATTTTTTCTAGTTTGTGTTTTTTTATTTTATTTATTTTTGTGTTTGTAATTGTTTCCGTGCTCATTTTTTTCATTTCTGGACAATTTAATTATCTCTCTTTTATCTTAAAGATTATATTTGATCACAGATATTTAGGATGTCTTTAGACTCAAGGACTCTCTGAACCTGGAGACTCATGTCTTTCATTTCTGGTAAGTTTTTTGTTTTTATTTTTGGTTTATTTGTTTGTTTCATTTTGTTTAGATTTTCTGTTTGATAGTGTTTCCCCTCTGTGTTCTATTTTTTTTTTCCTGGAAGTTTTCTTTAGTCCAATATTAGAACCATGTTCCTGGTTCTTTATTCTACCTATGTTTTCTGTTTATTTTCCATAAGTTACCATTTCATTGCAACTTCTGGAATACATTTTCCACATTATCTTTCATTTCTTTTATTGAATGTGTTTTAATTTTTGCAACCTCTCCAGCCCCAGCCCCAGCAACCTCTTCTATTAATTTTTAAGAGCTACTTTCTAACTAATTATGCATTTTTCTTACCTGATGTTCTTTGTTTTGTGTGCAGTAACTTTTTGAATCTCTCTATGGGTACTATCCTCCATTGAATTGTTTTGTTTTGTTCATGTTTGTCTTAATTTCTTTCCTTCCTTTGAAGGCTTTTCTCAAGTTTCTGATGCTCCTTGGTTATCTATTCGTATTTCAATGCCAGTTTCTAAATGCTAATTTCCAATTATGATATAGATGGGCTTTGTCACATGGTCATCTTCTTATTAGAGTAGTGGATTATAGACTCTCACTGCAATTTAGAATCAGCTGGAGAGCTTTTAAAAATATATAGAATGCTGGTTCTGCTTCCAGGAACTTTAGTTTAATTGGTCTGGGGCAGGACCAGGCATTACTTTTCTATAAATTTTCTAAAAATTCTATAAAGTAGTTTTCCTAAATTTTCTAATCTGCAGAGGGTTTCAGAGCCACTGCTTTAAGAGCATGAAAAGTGAAAGTTTTGGATTTTTAGCGGGGCAGGGGGGGGAGAGTCTTTTAATTTCCTGAAGAAGGATCTTTATATGTTTTGCTTAGACCATAACTACTGATGTTGAACATTTGGCATGGCAGTATGGGGGACATTGACCATATTACATACACTCAATTAATTCTCCATTTTCAACCCACACTTTATGCTCACTGTTGGTCACACCTGACTTTTCCAAATTCCCAATTTCCCTGTGGCTCTGGTCTGCAAAGTTGACCAGCTTATTTTTAATTCAATCCATCCTCAATATACTCTAGCTTGTGGCCTTTCCTATCATGCTTCCTGACTGTCTTCAAAATTTATATGGGTAAACTGGTCCTGGAAGAAAGGAAAATGAACCTGTAATATCCTTTAGAGGTTCTTTCAGTCATTTAACAGAAGAAACTAGTGATTATTTTACAAAAACTTAGTATAGTGGAAGGAAAGTCAAGATTAGAAATGGCTGGAAAGGTAGCTTATTCTGTATAATGAAGGAAGAAGGATTCAATGGAATAGAATTCAATCCTAAGCAATAGAGAATGAAGATTCAAAGAAGATACAGGAAAACCTATAATAATTCAGGAGGGAATCCACAGAACTTTCAAAGACAAGAATTTTAATTTTATTGCTCATATGTAAATATTCTGTCTTCCCACACAAGTGCCTTTGACAATGTAGGTTTTTTCCTATCTTTTCATGGAAGTCAAAGAAGCATAAATAGAACTTGAATGAATATTCATCTGTGTTGATATCTGGCAGAGAAAAACGAATTTGAAGCATGGACTACTAAACTATAACAAGGAAAATATCAAGCCCCTTCTTGGTAGTACCAGGAGCAACACCACCATTATGAAGGTGTGAGTCAATTTTGCCAACTCCTAAAAACAGGCTTCCTCTGCAGATGGTAGTATTTACATCTGTGCAACACTTTTCTTAAAATATAATCACAGCCCTTTGTAAGGGACTACAAAGATGGTAAAGAAGGTGATTTTTTAATAATCACCGAATCCTGGGAAGTTAGAGGTTAATGTTACCTTTGTAACCTGTATTTCATTGCTTCTGCTTATACAACCAGGAACAAATCAAGTGGACTCTGAGGCTAGACCTTAAGACGGATTAGCTGTGTTGCCATTAGTCATGTTCCACGAAGAAAACAAGAACACATGCCCTTGACTTAAAACCCTGAGCATGAAGTTGAAGGTGAAGAGATGAGAATTTGATGAGGAAAAAAAAAAAAAAGATTGAAGTCATTATGCAAGTAGACATTCATGCTTTATCAAGTACAGAGTCAGTACTTACTAACAAGGAAGGCAGTAAATACAGCTCATTGTCTTAAATGGCCTAAGATTATTTATATCTATTCTTTCCAATTTTCTGGCTGAGCAGCATGTGCTTAAAAATCAAAGGAGGTTTGGCAGCAGCCACTGCACAGACCCAATCCCATAGGCTTCCTGGCCTCGCTCCACTTTCTCTGCAGCCATGTCTGACGAAGCTGACGTGGCTGAGATTGAGAGATTCAATAAGCAGAATTTGAAGAGGGTGGAGATACAAAAGAAGAACCCACTGCCTTCAAAAGAAACAACTGAACTAGAGAGGCAAACAGATGAATCATCACGAGGCATGCATGCCAAAATGCATTGTACGTTCCTCAATCATCACCTTCTTGTTTTACTTCTTTGGGTTATTTAACACTGTAAGATGCAAAGAGGTTGGATCAGGTTTAAATGACTGTGCTGCCTCCTTTTTGCCTGAAAGGACTGAGAACAGCTGACAGTGGAGGCCTCCTCTGTCTGCCTCCTCCATCTGCCTGTATGGCTGGCTGGGGAGGAAAAGTACTCACACATTGGTGAAGGAAGAAGTTGGGTGGGATAACAGTGAACTAGGGTCAAAACTAAGCTGGTCCTCCTCGGTATCTTCTTGAAGGATATAAAACATAGCTTAAAAAGAGTGTCATTTTGTTGTTGTTCAAATTATCTTAATTATTTAGAATGAATTGACCTAGCTTCACATACATATATTATCATTTAATGTCACAGCCCTCCTTGAAAAGGAAAATTGGTATTGATGCAAAGACATATCTTTATTAATATAATGAGGCTTTGCTGTAGTTCTGGAGTCAGGGAAGATAATTTATTATAAAGCATAAATTGATCTGAAATGGATAATATGTCTGTATATCTCAAAGTTCACCCTTGTAAACTTTGGTTAAGTTGACCTCTCAAAGTCTTGGCTGCCTTGTTGAAAAATCTTATATAATAGCTGTATTTTCATGATAAGGTCACCATGATGACCCTTCGTGATGAAGGAAGGCATGTAAAGCACATAGCACAGCCCGGCCCTTGGTAAGCACTCAATAAAAACAACTATCAGTATTCTCCATGTTCCTAACAACTCTGTGCAATCGCTATGCCTTTTGCTCATATCAAGGATCAGCCCTTCAACATATAGCAGACCTCTCAGCCCTGACAACACACCTCTAAATAACAGGAACAAAAGCAAAAATGAGAAATCAGTGCTTTACTAAAGATTTTGTGTTGTTACAGGGAAAAGCATTCCTCTCTCACACTGCGTGGAAAATCTCCTCTGTTTTCCCAAGAAATGCATCTCTTGCCTATAGCTGATATACCCTACCTCTGCTCCCCTGTGGTGGCACAAGATAAGAGACCAGCAGTTACCTGAACTCCAAGCAGTATTAGTTATCAATATCCCAAGGGATGAGGGAGTGGCTCATCTTGCCTCTAGACCTTATCAAAACCAATGTCAACATTTCTCTCAAAATGTCAGTAGCAAGAATCAAATTTTACAAATAGAATAATATTTTAAACATTTGGAAAAACTTGCAATGCAGGACCAATTCAAATGTCACCTCTCCTATAAAATTGTTCTGAACTAAGCAGAGCCAGGCATAAGAAGAAGAGCTAGTTAAAAGTGAGGAATCCTGGTTCTGCTGGTAATTAGCTATATGACCTTAGGAATATCCTTGTATTCTTCAGTTTTGTCATCTGGAGGAAATATTGGCTAAATTATTCCTAAGATACCTTCTAACTCAAAAATCACATCATGATCTTCCTGCAAATACAATAAGCAAATATTAAAGCAAATCTTTCTTTCATCTCATTTTTCAAGATATCTTTCAAATCCATTTGTTTAAAGTAAGCTATGCCTTAATTATGCTATCTAAACTCAGGGAAGCCTGTATCCACACAATACAGGACTGTGGCACAGGCTTAGACATGTAATAAAAAAAAGTAAAGATACATTGCGTATGGTTTCATTTACCTAAATTGAATGCCAAGGAAGAGAATTTCATCTATATATACAGAGCTAACTCCTCTGTAGAAATATTTTCCATACCAATGTTGTCTCTCAGTGGAATCTGAAGGTGTCCCCTGCAGCACCTGAATGTCACATTGAAGGGAATATAATGATATTTTCTTTCACATGTCTAGCTAAAAGAAATGTTAAAAAAATGATGGTGGAACAAAGTTAAAATGAAATTACCACTAGTACAACTTTTAAAAATGAGAAGTGACTAGGCTCTTCCTTCCTTTGTGAAGTTTCTTCTGATTGATGCACTGTAAGGATGATGGGAGAATTCAAACTGAAGCCGGTGGAAAAGAGACTGGTAATTAATCCTTTGAAGGCATTCTCTGAATTCCAAGTTGTTTTTAATGTTATTTGCTAATTTTGGAAGAATCAATCCCAAATCCATTGAATTCCAAATAGCCAGAAGACAGGAAGAGAAATCATTGGACCTCTACTAAAATTACTTCCTTTTAAATAAAAATCCATTTACCCATAATGTCATTGATTCTTCTTGTGGCTAACATAAATATAGAATAATAAATTACTATTTTATATAAAATTATTAACCCAGGCAATTGCTTCCAGAATAATTCTATTACAGGGATAGCTTTATGACTGATTTTTAAGTATCATCAATAATGATTCATGATCTATGTAAGAAGTCTGCAGGCCTTTTTACTTTCTGTTTATAGAATAAGCATCAAGACCAAAGAATCTGATTTCTCCATGGTTAGTGCAGTACTGGCTTCAGGCTTCCTTATACTTTGAACTGCGTAGTGCTGAATATTTTCCAAAACAAGAACTTACTATTTCTTTTAAATTTTATGTTACAGACTATCACTTTTTATTATCAAAGTTCAATGAAGTCTCCCAGGAACCCAGCCTTTCTCTTTCTGCTTATGAACGAGATGTCCTTATGTGCAAGGTTTTGGGGGAAAAAACCCAGCCCACTAATAATTTTAACCAGATCTCCCTAGGTTTATCAATTCTCCCTTTCATGATGTTTTCATCAGTTACTTTAATAAGATATCTTGGAAGATTGTCTTTTTTGTTACCAGAGATCTGGTTTGGGGAAGGGTGGGTTCTAACAGACCCAATACTTGCCCCCAAGACCAAATGGAAAAAGTGATGGTGAAGTAGGAAAGAAATTTATTCTTAGTGTGTCCACACTGGGAAGACAGATCTAAAGTGTTTCATGGTATCAACAGTAGCTTTGGGGTAAAATATGGAAAAAACTGAGGGGGTGTTCCTAGCCAGCAATCTTGCTCAGGCAGGTCATCATTTGGTTGATCACTATCCTAAGACTGGTCATGTATCCCTGTCAGACCAAGGAACTCTGTGCTGGTAGGGGAACAGTTTCAACTCTTGTCACAAGATATTTATTGTTTAGACCCTCTAGCCAAAGAGGGAATTAGTTCTGTCAATGATGGAGCCTCCCTTCAGGTTTAGGGCTATGATTGGGGGACTTCAAAGGGCTACTTAAGGGGTCTAGAATAGGACATTATAAAATCTGACAAGTGGCAATCTGTTCATTATGATGTTCTTACAAATCTCAAAAGTATCTTAGTTACTCTTTCTTATTTTGATGGTTTCCAACTTTTTCAGTGATTAACATGCACAGTTAAATAAGAATCTGATCAGAAGTTTAAGGTAGCGAAAAGAGAGAGAGATGCCATGTGAAGGCACAAATGTCAAAATTTTTATCCTCTTTTTAGTTATTTATCAGACATCTGCCGGCCCAAGTGAAGAGTCAGTGCTTTTAACAAAAGAGACTTTAAGTCCCTGTTATACTTTCCTTATACCTTGTTCATCATTCATTTCAGACAAATCTACTCAAAATATCATGAAGCATAACTCTTTAAATAAGATTTCACAATTAATTAGCTTTATACATCAAACATATCAAAACTATCAGATTTTTGGTTAAAAACACATACTTGCAGAACAACTAAACATCCCTGGATTCTACCTATGAAATTATTCTAATAAAACTATAACAACTGAAGGCAAATTTTATGGTATTTATTTTTATTAATGCTATGATCAAAGTAAGTACTCCAGAGTATTTTTAATTAATTTCATTACTAAGGGCAAAGCATATCTATATATGTCTTATTGTTTTAAAGACTGGATGTTTCTGTACTTTTTAATTAGAGAATTATCTCTAAGCAAATGGTTGGATCTTATGGAATGGCTACAATGAGACAGTTGTGTAAGAAGCTATTTTAGATTGGGGAGATTAAGAGAAATGTTAGGAGTCATAGTTTTCTTTTTGTATTTTCTTTTACTCTATCTTAATTGAGTTATCTATTCAATGAGAATAATGTTTCTTGAGACATCCACTTTTTTCTCCTCAGAAAAATGCAGTGTCACACCAACCCAAGGTGGAATAAAACATATTATTGTCTGGTCAACATGATGTAGATTAAGGTACAATGTGGGCCCCACAAAGACAGTGCTCAGGAAGACTTTACTCAGTGCAGATTAAATTGGTAAGGAGGACACATGAAAGACCTCAAAGTACTCATCAAACAAAGGAAATATGTTTTTAGTGGAACTGGAAGAACAATATATTTTTGTTCTTTTGTTCAGTGGATATTTATGATCTGCTATTACTTATTATGATCAAGTATTATTTTAGGAACTGAGTATGAAGAACAAAACTGACATGTTCCCTGTCCTTAAGAAAGATATAGTCCAATAAAAGATATAGTCACAATTTAAAAATGATAATATTCAAATACAACTTCTGGTGAATGTAAAGGAATCACAAACTGGGTAAAATGACAGAAAATTTAGAAGGTAGCCTCCTTAGATATCATGATTTTTCTGCCTTTGTAGGGCAGACCTTCTACTTGAGAACTGTAGAACGAGAGAAGACCCGTTTTACAAAGAACAGGGAGGGTGAATGCTCAAAAACAGAGATCCACAAACATTCTGTAATGTGACAAAGAGTAAGTATTTTCATGTTTTACAGGCCATTTGCTTCCCGCTGCAACTAATCAATTCTGGCATCAAAGTATGAATGAATCTAAACCAATGGCCATGGCTATGTTCCAATAAAACTTTATTGGAAAAAAAAAACAAGGCAGTAGGTCAGATTTGATCTAGGAGATACACCTTTTGAGTTCCTGCTCTAGCTGGATGTGTTACCTGGGCAAATATTGTGACATGAGGCAAGGATTGCTGTGTTGAGGAAGTGATAAAAGGCTGGTATGGATAAAATCAAGAAAGTGGGAATAGAGGGGCATGAAACAAGCTTGAGGAGACAGTAGGAGCCAGATCATGCACTGCTTTAAGCTCATGGTAAGAACATTGGATTTTACTAGATTTTATTTAAGTCTCTTAAAATTTTAAGTAGGGTAGTAATACTCTTTAGGTATGGAAACTCATTTTAATTTCTATGCAGAGAACAGACTGGAAGACTATTGAAGCAGTTCTGGAAATATAGTCATGACCTGGATTCACATGGTGGCAATGAAAAGGAGTAGAAGAGGAAATATTTGAGATACATTTAATGAGGAGGGTCCTAACTGGAGGATTGAATGTAAAGGAGGTAACAATGAAAGAGAAGGAAAAAAATAACCTTGAAGTTTAAGGTCTGGCTGAGGCAATTTTATTACTCACAGGTAATTAAGTGGGGCTAAACTATAAATTCTGAAGAGGAATACCAAAGAAACAAAAGCCTAAAAGTTAAGCTGAATCTACTTTAGGGAATATCTTAAGTAAATTGTATTTGTTTTATTGAAAAAGAGAAAAATAATGAAAGGCTTTGGAGAGGGAAATAATATAGCCAGAGTTGTACAATAAACTATTTTAGGTTAGGTAGATTAGAGAGAAATGCTAGGAGTCATAGGAAGTTAAAGAATTATTAATATCATAAAATAGAGATCACAAACCTGATTCAGAAAATGTATGAAACAATTTCTACTAGAAATTGTATGAAACGTATTCAATAATTTTGGTTGAGGCTATTTAAGACAAATAAAATAAAATTTTAGAAGGTAAAACACAAGAGGAATAAAAGCTAGTTTTAAAGGGAAATGTGGATAATTAGATTAGCAAGTTAGTACAACTGAGCCCCCAAACTAACTCTGAGTCAGTTCTCTGACAGAGAAGAAAAATAAAGTAAAATAACAAGATAAAGTGAAGGTGGAAGAGGTGGAAATGGATTAAGTAACTCCCATCTGATATATGGAAATATAGCTCTTTTCCAGGGGAGAAATATTAAATGATAAAAGAAATATATATCATAATCTTTTATTAAGGGAAAATTAAAGATCATAATAAACTATGCCATAATAACTATTTGCTTAAAATACAGGTACTCCTGACAAGTAGTTTGTTAAATTGAAAACTCTCATGTCTTATATGCTAAATACTGGATAAAAGTTGAACTCATTGTACCATAGACCTCGAATGGAATTTTTTCAGAAAGTAAGAGCAATTAAGTTCAGATAATGGGTTTTACAATTACTTGGCTTGATTCAGAAATAAGTCTTAGAAAATAAGAACAATTAGTGGTTCCCTGACATTTCCTCCCAACCCCAAACACCCAGAACATTAGTAATATCAACTCTACAGATCACCAAGTAAGTAAGAGTTAGTAGTGTGGGCTCTGGAACCAGACAGTCAGGATATAAAACATTTGCTGGAAAACAGAGTGGCTGTGGACCCTAAATGGCCAGACATTCCAAAAGAACTGTGATAATCAAGAAGGAAAGGTGTCCTGTAGCTAATACTTCAACTGGCAGAAAGTTAATTTGTCAGCTGCATTAACTATTAAACTGATGCCTACAGAAATAAGACAATAAGATGTGGCTCATTGTTTATTATACCCACAATGGGCTTTTCAGTTGCTTCTGTTTTATTAGAGTATCCAATGAATCTAAATGTGACCATTCCCATTACTAATCTAGTTCAATGTGATTTATTTCCTGATTTCTTAACTAGTATTTCTGATGAATTATAAACTTGCCATTTTGCAAAGATAATTGGGTTGACTATATTTAATTTTAATTGAATTTTTGACCTTTAAGGATCCAGTTTAGCCAAATTGATATCTGATTAAGAGTATTTTCAGTAGACTTATTAGTCTGGCTTATTATCTAAGATTGCAGAGTCATGTTGAATAAGGAGATTATCTTCAGTCTCCTGGCAAGTTTATACAATATGTATTTTTTAATTGTACCCAGAAGCAATGGGTACAATTGGGAAGAAGAATACATTTGTTAAAGACTTTTTAAAGACTACTATCATTGATGGTGTGTATTCAGTTGAAAAAAACCACCACACTCCTAAACATTTGATTGAACAGCCACCAGTGATTAGGAGTTTATAGGGTTAAAACAAACAAACAAACAAAAAACAGCTGTGAGCTTTACTTTTCCTCCAAAGCAAGTTATTTCTGCTAGATAATAGAATTTGCTAATGTTTCTTCTGAACAAAGAATTGATGTCAGTTGACTTCATCTTGTTTTTTCCCTCCTAATCCCTGTCTCCCTCCAACATTTCCCACCTTGGTTCTAGCTTCTTTAAGGAATATCCATTGTGTATTCTTACCTCTCTGCCTTTGCTTAAACTGTTCCCTCTCCCTGGAATGACTTCTAACCCACCCCCTCCCAAGTAGGGAAATTTCACTCCCTCTTTTCATAGTGCAATGCTTACTCCTCTGTTACAGCTTCTAATATGTTTTCTGCTTCCCTGGTTTTCTTGAGCCCTGGACTGACTCATTCATCTCTATATTACCAGAATCATATATGTTTGGCACATGGCATACAGAGAATTAAATTCATGCACAGGGAATTAAGATTCCCTTATGGAGTACAGCAATTGTGGAAAACAGTATGGAAGTTGCTCAAAAAATAGAAACTAGAACCAAGTAATTAAGAATGAAAATATCCCAAACCATGCTATGTTTAAAAAAAAAAAAAAAAAAGTTTGTCAGAAAGCCCATGGTCTGACTAAAAGCATTAAGGTAGCAATTACTGAATAACATGGAAAAAAAATTAGAAAATGTATTCTTGAATTAATATTTTATCTCATTATTTATTACTCAATTTTATGAAATAACATTTATTTTAAGCCCTACTGACATATTTACAACATATGGCATATGAACAAAGTTTACAACTGCTTACCTTGAGCTGACAGGGAAGAAGTTATGAAATAACTGTTTTTATTGCTCCCTCATAAACTACATCACGAAGAAACAAAAAATTTAGTCTAAAATGTTCTACTTTCATATGGAATTTTATGAGGTAAGAGGGATAAGAAGACATATTTCCTTTGTTCAAATAACAACAATATCATTGTTATAATAACTGAGGCTGGGTTACTTTATACCAAAAAAAAAAAAAGAGGTTTATTCCCTTCTCAGTTCTGTAGGTGAAAAGGCATAGTGCCATCATCAATAGAGCTCTGGCAAGGACCTCATAGCAGATGGTATTACAACATAGAAATGTAAGTGAAAGGAAAAGAAACAAGTGACGGTTTTGTCATAACAACCTCTCCTAGGAATAACCCAGGTGTCCCACAAGAATCATGTTAATCTCTTCCAAGGGCAGTACCTCTAATGACAAAGGACCTCCCACCAGGCCTCCCTCTCTTAAAGGTTTCCCCTCCTTTCAACACTGAGGACCAAGCCTCTGACATGGGAACCTTTGGAGGACAAACCACATTCAAACTATAGCACAGGATAAAGCAAGCCCCCAACAAAGAAGTGGTGAGGAGAAGAGAAGAGAAGAGAAGAGAAGAGAAGAGAAGAGAAGAGA